CTCAAAATTTGAAAGAAAAAAGAATGTTAAAATAGTTTTTACATGTAGTTGGGAAAAATAAAATATTAAATAAGATAAAAAATGCTTACAATGAAATGATCATTTCATCTGCTTATTGTTCTCCCAATGGGGTGATCCAGCTTGGGTTAGGTCTCACATCATGTAGTTTACCTTTTTCTCATTTCTCACCTGGTTGCACTACTTTGGGACATCTCTGATTTTTCTACCATGCCCCAGGAAGCTTATTATTGGGAAAATCTCATCATCCTCTGAGATCTCATCAGCCTTGGAACTCCTTGTCATCACCATTTCTGATTAGAGGGTGGGAGCCATGAACTCCAAAACCTTTATTTAAGGAGGAAGATCAGCTCAGATGTCCTCACTTCTCACCTGATTGCACCACTTTGGGACTTCTCTGACTTTTCCATCACCTCTTAGTTAAGTACCTTCTCTGGTTCGTCTTCTCCCCATGCATGGTGCCTAGCATATAGTAGATACTTAATAAATGTTTATTGACTATTTGTTAACTAAATTAGTGTTGCCTTGGTGGCTGTTTCTCTACTTAGCTAGCAAATCAAGAAATGATTTCTATATCTTAATATTCAGCCCTATTGAGGCAGGTAGGTGGCACTGTGGATAGAGTGCCAGTCCTGGAGTCAGGAAGACTTATTTTCTTGAGTTCAAATCTGGCCTCAGACACTTACTAGCTGTGTGACCCTGGGCAAATCACTTAACCCTGTTTGCTTGTTTCTTCATCTGTAAAATGAGGTGAAGGAAATGGCAAACTACTGCAGTATCTTTGCAAAAAAAAATGAGGTCACGAAGAGTCGGACATAACTGAAACAACTCAATAACAACGTCAACAATAACAACTAGTCCTAATCTCTCTGCTGAACTCTAGTCACATATTGTTAGCCAGGTATCGTCCCCAGTTGTTTCCACAGGCATTTCATACTTAAGTTATCCAAAATAGAACTCATCTCCCCTCCCCCCATCAAAAAAATCTACCTATCCTCCAAACTTCCCTACTTCTGTTGAGGGTATCACCATGGTACCAGTTACTCTGGTTCATAACAACAGAATTATGCCTGTCTTTCTTTTCCTTTGCCCCTCCCCTTTCTACCCAATTAGTACTCAAGTCTTATTAATTCTAGCTTCACAACATCCCTTGCATCCCTTGTGTCCCTTTCTCTACCACTCCCATAGACCCACCCTCGTTTAGTTTCTTATCACTTCTCAGCCAGGCTACTACAATAGCTTTAGAAGTTGACTCTATTGCTTGAGTCTCTCTCCTCTCCAATCCAAACTCTATACAGCTGCCAAAGCAATCTTCCTATGCCGCTGGTTTGAGCACATTCCTCCCTTCCTCTAAAGCCTTCAGTGACTCCCATTACCAGAAGATAAAATTAAAACTCCCCAGCCTGGCATTTAACCCCTTTCTCTTTCTGTAGTCTGGTTCCAAATTGCCTTCCCAATTATATTTCATATTACTCCCCATCAGATGCTCTTCTATTCCAATCCAAACTTGACTAGCACCTTCTACTTCCACACTTTCCCACAAGCCATTCTTCATACCTTAAATGCACTTCCATCTCATCTCTGATCTCAGAATCCTTATTATCCCTTGATGCTCAACTAAGGGGCCACTTACTCCCTGGGCTTTCCCTACGTGGTTCTCCCAGTTATAAATGGCTTCTCCCTCTTCAAATTTGTGTTCTATTTCCCACAGTAAGCTTTTTGAGGGAAAGGAGCTCTTCATCCTCAGTGCCAGAGAATTGGTGGATAGCGAGTTCACTTTGGAGTCAGGAAGAGTTGGGTTCAAGTTCACTTCTGACATGCACTGGCTATGTGACTAACATCTACCTCTAACTCTCTAAATCAATGACTTTCAGAAGAGTTTTGGGACTGAATTGGTGGAAGGAATTTCCTCAGTAGAAAGTGCCTACATCAATGAAATAACAGGTCTAGACCTAAAAAAGAAAAATTAAAAAAAAAAAATTCCCAGCATCTGGTTCAGGGCCTCACAAACCATAGGGACTTAATGCATGTTGATTTTGAATTAGAATTTAAATGGACCCTAAATTCCTTTTTTATAGATCTCTCCTCCATAAGAAGGTTGTATTAAATCTCTAAGGTTCTTTCTGGTACTAAAATTCTATGATTCAGTAATTAATCTAAATCCTTCCTGAATCTTTTCACATTTTCAAGCTATGACACTTTCTGGAGGTAATGGGCTTTGCATTTTTACTTTTCAGGCCATAAAGTAATATTTATCCTTATTTGTTCTAAGGTTACCTCTTTCAAGTTTCCATTTAATCCCTTCATTTAATGAAACAAGACATATGAGAGCTAATGCTGTTTATAAAGACTATAATAGATAGCAATTGTTCATCCTTCTTTTACAACCAAGTCATAATGTTTAGAACTTAAAGAATCTTAGCAATCATGTGGTGCAGCTTCTGAGACCCAGGAAGCAAAGTGATTGCAAGCTTCTTGAAGGAACTGTCTTTTGCCTCTTTTTGTATCCCCAGCACTTAGCACACAGTAGCTGCTTAATAAATGTATATTGGTTTCTTGAATGATTGATTACCCAGGGCAAAATATAGGTAGCAGAAGAATCAGAACTAAAACTAAGGTCTCCTGACTCATAGCCCAGCGTTCTTCCCATGACACCATGCTGCCTTCAATACTGCAACATCTAGCAATCCTTGCCATAAAGAGACTCAGATTTCTGCTCCCTAGAATCTTGAACTGAGCTGATTGACTGGCTGTATGACTGAGTAGAGAGGCAGGATGGTCCATGGAAAAGATGTCTGGTCTTGGAGCCAAGAAAGGTTAGACTCAAATCCTACCTCTAACACAAAGGGAATGACTAGTAGTCATTGAACATCAGTTTTCTCAGCTGTAAGATGGGGAGGGGGAGAAATGGCAATTGTAATTCATGCTTGATAAACATGGCATAAATGAGATGATGTATATAAAACTTTTTGTAAACTTCACATAAGTAATGATGATAGCTAACATTTATAGGTTTGCAAAGCACTTTGTAAATTTATGGTTGTTGTTTGGTCATGTCCAACTCTTTGTGACCCCATTTGGAGTTGTCATGGCAAAGGTACTGGAGTGGTTTGTCATTTCCTTCTCCAGATCATTTTACAAATGAGGAAACTGAAGCAAAGAAAATTAAGTAAGTTACCCAGGGTCACACAGCTACCAAGTGTCTGAGGCCAAATTTGAATTCAAGAATATGAGTCTTCCTGACTCCAGGCCTGACACTCTACCCACCGTGCCAACTAGCTGCCAGCTGCTATTATCATTTTAAAAAAAGCAGAGGTCATCTAGCCTAATACCTTGCCTGATGCCCAGATTTGCTATCTCATGTTTGTTACCTCCAATGACAAAAAACTTATTGAGTTGTTTATCATCCAATAACCTTTTACACGAATTTAGTCCAGTGCCTGCCACATAGTAGGTGCTTAGTAAATGTTCATTGACTGACATGTCTGAAGACAATTACTGTTTTTGCTCAGACTTTTCTACCCTAGTAACTTCACTCCTTTTTTTTCAAAGAATCCTTGACCTTTAACTATCAGATCCCTTTGAATTTTGACCCTGAAATACCCTGGGGAAAAGGGAAAGGTCCAGAAAACATTGTCAAAGACACATCTGCTGTTGACCTGGGGACACAGATTCATCACCACTCATCCCTCTAGTGTGTTCAGTGTCATGCCACGTTGGGTTAGTGCATGACTCCCTTGGGAATACATAGAATGGGGAGGACACATCCAGACCTAGTGACAAAAGCCCCAGCATCCTGAGCCCTTGCTAATGACATGGTTTTAACTACAGACTCTCTTCTTCCTCTATCACTATAGGGCTCTGCATAAGCATGATGGCTGATCTCAGACAGCTAGAGCTCTAGGAAAATGACTTTGGCCCCTGAATAGGGAACATGTTGATATGCAGAGAGACTTGAGGCAGAAAGACCAAGATGGAGGTTATCATAATAGTCCAGGGAGAGATAATGAACAACTAACATAGCACAGTGGTTAGGTAAGCGGAGAAAAATGACTGGATGTGAGTGATGTTAGGGAGGTAGAAACTTCAAGATTTGGCAACTGATTGATGTGTGGAGTGAGGGAAATTGAGGAGTCATGATGACATCAAGGTTGTGAACCTAGGGGATGAGGCAAATTGTGGTGCCCTCCACAGAGGGGTGGCAATGGGGGAGGGTGGAGTTAGTGTAATCATATCCTATTCTTGCCTATTCATCCTCCCCTAGTTGTTCTTCCCTATTGAAAAATGAAAATAATGTTTCAGGGGCTTACTTAGCAGCCAGTGTCCCAGAATTCAGAACCCATCATTGAGTTATGTCAGCTTTGGCCATGAGATGACAGATAAGGGGGAGAGTTGGGACCATAAGGAATTTTGCCTGTGAATGTGCTGTGGATAGCTGTGTTAGGGTAGGTTATAACTGCTCAGAGAAACCCACCCAACACAGCAATGGAAGGTTAGAGGCGGGAGGGGTCAGAATGGGAGAGTGTTTAAGATGTATAGTTGTTTTGGAGACAAGCCTAGAGCTGGCTGGGGAAGGGGGAGGGTGGGATACAGCACATATTACTACCCTCCCCTTGGTTAATCACATACCCCTTGAAAATCAGACCACATCCCCCCAAGCTTATTTCAAACCCCACCACACACTTGGTGGACCACTGGCCTAGGGCACAAGTGACTTGGCCAAGTCAGTCAGCATGTATCAGACCTCTCTAGCTACAAGTCAGCTTATTCTACCTTGCACCATATTTCCTCTCTAGCTAGCTATGTGATCTGGTGAAATTCATTCAAGTTCTCTGAGAATTACTCTCTTCATCTGAAAAATGGGATTAATATTTTTGTTTGGAAGGAATGTGCATCATAAATATTGAAGTGCTGGAGACTCATGTGCCATAATTGTCATAGACTTGTCACAATGCCCTACAGATAGGACATTGCTGACTTACCTGACCAAATTCTCTTTGTATACAACACTCGTCTGAGTGGGACTCAGAGTGATGTTGCCATCTTCATCAGAAAGAAAGCTGTCCTCTGTCAAAATGTAATAGCCATTGGTGAGGAGCCGGGGGCTTCGGCGGCAAATAAAATGAGAACCTGTCAGGGGATTTGTGGAACAGCATTCCAATGGGGTGTCACCATCCAGAAAAGTACAATCATAGCTAGAGAGAAAGGGAAAGAAAGCCTTTAGAATCTCTAACCTGCACACCCAGGATCAAACATCAGCTCTTTTGTTTGGCATTTGTCAGTCCCTGGGAAACTCTAGGATCCCTAGTCTATTCTGACTAGTAATTTCTAATCACCTTCTACCCTCAAGGTAAACTGTGGGGAATCTGCTAAGACCAGCAGTTTCTAACTGCTCTTGTTCTCAGACAGAGATAGCTCCAAGGACACCTGTGCAGCCTTTCCCTTTCTGTAGTTAGGGTACTCTTTTCATAGTACTCTATCCTTTACTCTAGTATTCCCATTTTACAGAGGAAGAAACTGAGTCTCAGAGAGGCTAGAGGATTTCATAATCACATAGCTAATCACTCAATGGCATTATATGAATCCAAATTTCCAGGTCCCAGGACTCTATACACTATGCAATTCTGCCTTTTAAAATGATAACAGCTTGAACCGGTGTTGTGTTTTCCTGTTCCAAAGTGATTTTTACATACAAAGTCTCATATGATCCTTATAATGATCTTGTAAAATTGACAGTGTAAAAACCACTTATTTTATTTTATAGAAGAGGGAACTAAATGACTTGTCCCAAACAGAGCCAAGCACCTAAGCCAAGTCTTCTGACCCCAAGTCCAATACACCTCCCACTACACCATATATACAATGAAAGTTAATTGACCTCAAGTTCTACTAGAAAAGTGATCCCTTTTACACGTGACCAAACTGAGTCTCAGAGAGGTCAAGTAACTTGACCATTGGCACATTGTTAGTAAAGCACCAGAGCTGTGATTTGAAGCCATGCCTCTCAACTCCAGGCCTACCCTCTCATCAGATCTTCATGAGAGTGGCAAAAGTATTGATTCCAGAGTCAGAAGACCTAGGTTCAAGCTTCACCTCTGATGTTTAAGACCTATGTGACCTTAGGCAAGTCATTGAACTTCTCTGAGGTTCAGTTTCCTCACATGTAAAATGAGGAAGTTAGTCTAGTTGCTTTCTGAGGTTCCCTCATGCTGTAGATCCATGACTCTGTAAATACTAGTGGTGGAGTAGGTGTAATTGAAAATAAACAATCTTATTTGTGTGGTGGACAGGTATTGTTATTTCCTTTCTACAAATAAACAAACTTAGTCTCAAAGAGGGTCAAGGAATTGCCACTGGTCACATCAACAGAAAGTCGTAGAGTGGGTACTAGAGCCCAGGTCTTCTGAGTGCTTTGGCCTGAGTGCTAGTCTTTCCAATTATACAACGCTAGTCAGTTTGTCAGTCAGTCAGCTAGCATCTATTAAGTGCCTATCATGTACCATGTACTATAGAGATACAAAGAAAGGCAAGACAGAACCTGCTCTCAAGGACTTTACAGCCTAATGGGGCATACAACACGCAAACAATTATGTACAAACAAAAGGTGTGTGTATATATATGGTAAATTTGAGATAATCAACAGAAGGAAAGAACTAGATTTAAGGTGGAAATCAGGAAAAAGTTTCTTGCAGAAGGCAGGATTTTAGTTGAGACTTGAAGGAAGCCAGAGAAGTGAGAAGTAAGCAACTTGCAGGCATGCGGGACAGAGAAAATTCCTGGAGTTGGGAGATGGAGTGTCAATATCAAGAAACAGCAAGGAAACCATTGTTACTGGATCCCAAGGTATACAGTGGAGTGCAAGGTATAGGAAGACTGGAAAGTTAGGAAAGGACTAGACTGTTAAGGGCCTTAAATGCCAAACTAAGGATTTTATATTTGATCCTTGAGGTGATGGAGAGCCACAGAAGTTGACTGAATAGTCTAACAGCTGACTGGAGAATAGACTGGAGTGGGGAGATTCTTGACACCGAGGGACCAATCAGCCCGCTATTGCAATAGTCCAGTTGGGAGGTGATGAAGACCTGGTGTCAGTGCCTGGGGACAATGCTACTTTCTTGAATTGTTAAATATGCTCCATGTACTCAGCAGTTGTGATGTTTTGCATTCGAGTGGGTAACTTCTTGAGGTCTGAATGATAGCAGGGTAGATCCAAAAATAGCACTAGGCTTGGAGAGAGGAGTCCTGAGTTCAAGTCCAGGCTATTGGTACTATTTTAAAAAAGGATAATAATACTTGCACTACCTAATTGTTGTTGTAAGGGAAGTATTTTAACCTTAAGAGCCCTATATAGGGTTTTCCTAAAGTCTTTATGGATTTTTAAGTTGTCGAAGCTTCTAAAGCTTAAAAAATAGTGTAAAGCCTTTTGGGATGCTTTGTCAGTTACAGTAACAGTTTACATATTTACCTAATTCAAGATTCATAAATACACTGTATGAAGTAGGAGACATAAGATTTTTTTTAAATCTTCATTTTATAGTTGATGAAAGTGAGAGTCAGCGGGATGAATTGACTTGTCCACACAGCTAGGAAGTAAATCAGAGCCTGGATTCAACTGCGGTCTCTGTGACATCCATCACCCTTATCTACTGCACGTGCCACATTGGGTTACTCGTCTTAGAAAATTTCAAGGTTAGCCTCTCCCCAGTGTCTTTTCTTTGTAACGCTTTTAGAATTCTCTTTCCTTTTGTGGCTGTAAGCACTTCCAGTTTCTGAGTTACAATAACGGTGCTCTGTTGTTGTTTTAAGTTGATTCCTTAGAAGATCAAACAATTCAACCGGACTGTAGCCCCAAGAGATACTGCTATGTCCAGATCCCGAATCTCTTGGCTGCAGTCTTGTATACGCTGTAATCATCTGAGGAATTTTTAACTGATGCTTTTCAGCAGGTTCCTTCCAAGGGCTTACAAAACAACAACAACAACAACAAACACTACCCCACCCTAAATTTCTTCAACTTGAGCACCCTATCACATGAGTGTTTCTTGTTGCTTTGAGAGTGGCCACTCCATGGGGGCCTCAGATCTTCCCTTCTCCCCCTTCCACTAGTACACAACAGAGCTAGGTCAGAGAAGTACAGGACTCCGAGTCTACGTTAGACTGTAAGCTCCCTGAGGACGGTTCCTTAGGGAACTGTCTTCTGCCTCTTTGTATACTCAGTGCTTAGCTCAGTGTAGCACAGTAGATAACTCAATAAATGTTTATTGATTGATTGAGTGAGGCTCCGCCCTTTTCTAGCTCTAACCTTAAATACATCAATTAACTTTTCTGAGGTCCTGTGTCATCATATGTCCAAAAGAACTAGGTAGCTCGGTGGACAGAGTGCCAGGCTTGGTGTCAAGAAGACTTGAGTTCAAATATGGCCTCAGACACTTACTAGCTGTGTGACCCTGGGCAAGTCACTTAACCCTGTTTTGCCTCAACTGCTCATCTGTAAAATGAGCTGGAGAAGGAAATGGCAAACCACCCTAGTATCTTTGCCAAGGAAACCTCAAATGGGGTCACAGAGGGTAGGACATGACTAAAATGACTGAGCAATACCACCTCACAGGATTGTTGTAAGGGAGTGCTTTCTAGAACTTTAAAATGTTCTATAAATGTGAGCTACCATTAAATTGGGGCTAAACAAACAAGTAAACTGAGTCTCATCCATGAGCACAAAATAAGGATTTGGACTCCAAGTTGAATGCGTGAATCTATTATAAAACATGTCTGACTATAAGTCACCTGATCTTTGCTTGAATATTTTAATAATAATAATATTAGTAATAATGATAAGTATGTATATAATACTTAATATGTTTGAGGCACTGTGCAAAGTGTTTTACAATTATTATCTCACTTGATCCTCACAATAACCCCAGTAGGGGTTATTATTATCTCCATTCTGCAGATGAGGAAACCGGGGCAAACAGAGATTAAGTGTCTGAAGCTAGGTTTGAACTCAGGTTCTCCTGATTCCAGGTCTAGCACCTTGTATCCATTGAACTTCCTAGATGCCCCAAACACCTCCATTATCAAGGAGCTCACTACCTCAAATATACATAATAGACCAAGTTAAAAGCCTCCACTACCATTCATCATGACTCCATAGCCTGACTTGGGACCACCTAAAAGAAAATGGTCCAGAAAACCTGATAAGGCATATACCTTCCCCAGACATAGGTGAATCATTCAAAAGAATTTTTCTTTTGAATGATTAGCCAAAGTAACAAATGAACCAGGCCTGCAAGTTTGAACTTGCATTGCCTTTCCTATAAAAAATTACAGCCTGCCAGAATACCTTGGGAAAATGCATCTGGGTGACAGTGTTTCAGTTGATTCTCTTTCCAGACCAGGAGAACCTAGAAAAATAGGCAAGAGAGAAGAAAAGGGAAGAAAAAACCAGTAAGTTTGAGGAAACAGGAAAACATATTAAACATTAGAAACTCTATACATGTGGTTGGTAAAAGTCAAATGCCTAATGTCCCACCCACAGAGCCAAACTTAAGTCAGACAGGGTTTAAAAATTAATCTCTAATAGCAGTTTTGTCCCTGGCACCTGGAAACCAGCAGCCAGAAATAAACTCCGTCCTTGGGTGTTTTGTCTGTCTCTTGGGGTTTATTACTCTAGTCTCTGAGTACAGCTTTCCTTTGGAGATAAATTCATGAGGGCCAGAGGGGTCATGAATAAATTATTACCACCCAACAGAGATCCATGAAATAGAGAAGGATCACATTTTGTGAGAAGAAGAGGAAACCCTAAATTCATCATATGCTTATTGTTTAATTTATTTATTTGCCTGTGTATTTGGCCTGCTGGATAATTTGCAAAATTAAATTGTCTGCCAAAGATCCCCGCTCCCCTTCCTTAGGGCAAATTGAAGATATTTTGTTGTAAAAAAATAATGGAGCTTAGAAAAGTGGGTTCTTATTTTCATAAGTGACTTATAATTTATATGGCTAGCAGAGTATAGTATGATGGAAAGAGGAATGAACTGTTTGTATGAGAAGGTTGGGGCTGGAGCTTACACTGATTTCCCTCCAGGCTCCTAATAATAATAACTGACATTTAAATAAATTGCTTTATGCACATTGGCTCATTTAGTCCTCCTAACAACTCTGTGAGGCAAGATCATTATTATGATCATCCCTGTTTTACAGATGAGGAAACTGAGCCCCAGAGATGAGTGAAGTAACTTATTCATGGTCATGGCACCATGAACAAAAGCAGCATTCAAACCCAGGTTCCTCCTGACTTCAGGTTAGGAACTCTTTCCTCTACAATACCATGCTACCACTTAAGCTAGCCCAAGTAGCTTCATAGCTCAGAGGGAAGTTGAGTTTCTTCATCTGTAAAATGAATATAATAATATTTTTACTACCTACCTTCCAAGGTGGAAAGTGTAATATAAAGGGTGGAATGAACATAAGCAATTACAATTGTGAATACAAAAAACAAAAAGTGGTTTTTGTGGGTATTTAATTTGATATAGATGTATCTGGATCTGTGTTGTCATCAGAGTGGGGAATTTCTAAGATATCAATATACAATTCTATGTGTACTTCTTGTCTACCCCAATGGAATGTAAGTTACTTGAAGATAGGGATTATTTCCCTTTTGTCTTTTTAAGTCCAGCACTTATCACAGTGCCTGGAATTTTTTTTTAAAAGTTTGTTGAATGATTGAACACAGATACAGATCACAAGTCCTCTGTAACTTTTAGTCTTAGAGAATAGTATAGGACACTGACAAGTTAAGTGACTACGGTGTCACGCAACTGGAATGTATCAAAGACAGTATCTGAATCGAGCTCTCTATCTTCCTATATGAATATATATGTACATGTGCATACACATATATGTCTATACACATGTAGTGTGTATATAGAGATACGTATGTGTATATATATACATACATACATAGCATGACAATTTGACAGATGCATATACATATAAGTATATATGCACATGTGTACATACATGTATTTCTGTAATACATGCCAGTAAGTTAGTCAGTCAATAAGCATTTATTAAGTGTCAGCAATATGCCAGGCACTGTGTCAAGTACTAGGGATACCAAAAAAGACAAAAGGCAGTCCCTGTTCTCCTGGAGCTCATAGTCTAATGAGGAAGACAATATTCAAATGACTAGGTACAAACTAGTTATATACAAGATATATATGAAATAATCAACAGAAGGAAGGCACAAGAATTTAGAAAGATTGGGAAAGGTTTCTTGTAGAAAGTAAAATATTAGTTGACACTTGAAGGAAGCCAGAGAAGCCAGGATGCTGAGATGAGGAGGGAGAGAATACTAGGAATGGAAGACAGTCATTGAAAATGTCAAGTGTCAGGAGATGGAATGTCTGCCTCATTCAAGGACCAGCAAGAATCCCAGTGTCACTGTGTTGACAGGTCCATTACAGGGAAATAAGGCGTAAGAGGACTGGGAAGGTTGGGGACAAGGGTCTAAGTTATGAAGTCTTTGAAAGCAAAATAGAAGATTTTGTATTTGATCTTAGAGGCAATAGGGAGCTATTGGAGTTTGTTGACATGATCAGAATTTCACTTAAGGAAGACCAGTTTGTCAGCTGCGGGTAGGATGGTGGGGAGAGACTTGAGAAGGGGAGACCAACCAGCAAGTTATTACAATGGTTTAGGCACGAGGTGAGAAAGGCCTGCACCATGGTGGTGGCAGTGTCAGGAGAGAAAAGGGGGGCACATAGGAAAGATGATGCTAATGAAAAATCAATGGGACTTGGCAACAAATTGGATATGGGGGAGGAGGGGAGGTGAGATAGTGAGGAGTCAAGGATGACATTTAGGTTGCAAGTCCAAGTAACTGGGAAGATTGTGGTATCTTCAACAGTAATAGGGAAGTTCAGAAGAGAGGAAGGTTTTAGGAGAAAGATGATGAGTTTTTGGTTTGGGGCATGTTGAGTTTAAGATGTCTAGGGGACATTCACTTTGATGTCTAATAAACAGTTGGAGATGCAAAACTGGAGGTCAGCAGAGAGGTTAAGGCTGGATATTTGATAGTCATCAGCATAGTGATGATGATTGAGTGCATAAGGACTGATGAAATCATCAGGTAAAAAAGGATAAATGAAAAAGACAAGAAAGCCTAGCACAGGACCTTGGGGGCAATACTCTAGCTGGTGACTTGGGTGAAGCCTGGGAAGTGGTCAAACAGGTAGGAGGAGAACCAGAATGGAGAAGTGTCATGGAAACTTAGAGAGAAGAGAATAGCAAGAAGATAGAAATCAGTAGTGTCAAAGGCTGCAGAGGGATCAAGAAGGGTAAAGATTAAGAACATTTTGAGATTAAGAGTTCACCAAAAACTTTGGAGAAACCACTATATGATGAGTAATGAAGTTGGAGTCAGACAGCAAAGAATTAATAAAAGAGTGAAAAGAGGAATTTAGCCACAAAAAAGGAGGAGTGATATGGGAGCATCATCATCATCATCATCATCATCATCATCATCATATCTGGCATTTATAAAGTGCCTACTATGTATCAAGCACTTTTAAAAAGATTATCTCCTTTGATCCTCACAACAACCCTGGAAAGTAGGTACTGTTATCCCCATTTTATAGTTGAGGAAATTGAGGCAAACAGAAGTTAAGTGACCTGCCCAAGGTCACCCAGTCAGTGTCCAAGGCTAGATTTGAACTCAGATCTTCCTGACTCAAGGTCCAGAGCTCTTTCTACTGTACCACCTCACTTCCAGGAATGGATAGATCAAATGAAGATTTCTTTGAGAATGAAGGGGCATGACCATATTTGTAGGCAGTAAAGAAGCAGCCAGTAGACAGGGACAGATTACAGATAAGTAAGAGAGTGGAAATGATAGAGGGAGCATTCTTTGAGACAGAATGAAATGGAATCACTTGTGCAAGGATCAGGGTTTGTCTTGGCAAGAAGGGCCACCTCTTCACGTGAGGCAGAGGTGAAGGAAGTGTCTGAGTAATGTGAGATGAGAAGCATGGGAGAAGAGGGAGCTCTCAGCAGATGACCCCATGTTTATTAGTGAAATATGAAAGGTTCTCAGCTGAGAGTTTGCTGGCAGGGGGAGCTAAATGATGAAAAGAGTTGGAAAAGTCAGTTTGGGGAGATCGTAAGTCAATTAGGAAAGTGTAAAAACATTGCCTTGGGGCCCAGTTGAGATTATGTGTCATAGATTCATAGTGAATTGTTTCTGCATGGTTGCATGATTTTCTCCAATTCCATTGAGCAGCATGTGAGTAAGGGTAAAGGAAGTGGATGGAAAGAGTAATCGAAAATGGAGGCTTGGCAGAGCAAGATTGGTGATAGGAAAGGGGGCAAGAGACCCAAGAGAAATGATCATTGTAGAGTTGAACTAGTTCACCATATGATCAAGATGGGGAACTTTGGATAGTGTAGTTAGTGGTCAACAGTAGGTGATGGCCTGGGCAGTACCTGAGGGTTTGAAAGACCTGGAGGTCACATTGGAGATGAGGAACAAGGTTAGGGGTTGCAAGACCAAGGGTGCAGTGGACTGACAACAGATTGTGGTAAGATAAGGGGTTTTCAGAGTTCATGGACCTGGATGTGGTAGTTTTGTGGATGATGGCAAGACCAGCTTCACAGACTGTCTATAAAAATGTTTTTAAACAGATAGATTTATATTCAAAAGAGAAAAAGCACACCAAAGCAGATGGTATTTACTAATTGCACTTCAGGCAACTTGGGCGTCAACTGGCTTCAATCTATAAGATTGGAAGCAGAGGACTGGATTGGAGGAGCTCTGGGATTCTTGCCAGTTTTGATTATGCAAAAGATATCCATTCCACTATGACTGCAGATAGAGAATGTTTATAGATATAAAGTGATTTGTAAAAGTAGCAAGAAGAAAAGAGTAACAGTGAGGTATATTTTAGGTCTAGTCAGTGGAACTTTCTCAACTTATTAGAAGGTTTAACATGCCAAAGAAGAGAACTTGAAGACTCAAATAGGGCTGGTTAAGTTAGAGGGAGCAAAACTGGGGGTGGCTTGAGGGAGAAATAAGAGGAAGGAAGAAAGAAACTTGAAACAGCCACCATGTGAACAACGCCCTTGTTTTTGCAAGTAGCTATCAAAATCATTCAGCATTTTCCCCATGCTTAGAGTTTTGCATCTTAATTGTTGCTGATAAACAATCTTCCTTTTCATTTTTATGCACAGACATCTAAAAAAATCATGTTTTTTTCATTGAAAGCAAAAAAAAAACAAAAACAAAAATACCCACAACAACCAACAACTTGCATTTCTTTCAAAGAAAGAAATGAAGTCAGATTCATTGCCAAAGCATACCCAGCATTTAAGAAACGCAAACCACTGACAGATGGTTAATGGCAGAAGTATCAGCAAAATCAAAGCAAGAAATCTTTCAGGAGATAATTGTGCTGAGCAGAACTCAGACATTTACTTGCTACTGATGTAGATGTGAGCTGAGAGATGCGGTACATGTTGGGAAGGCCACTTGTACAAACTTCACAGATTGTCTGCAAGAGAGGTTAAGAAAAGGTAGATCCATATTAAAAATGTGACAGTCCTAAGAAAAGCAGATGGCATTTACTAATTGTTCGAGAGTACATTTGGACATCCAGTAATAAATATCTGTAAGACTACAAACAGGGGATGGGGCTAGAGGATGCTTGCGGACTTTTGCAAATTTTGCAATTCTATAATAAATTTCTAATGGCTTTACCCAATTCATGAAAATGTTGTGTTTTTTTTTCTTTAAGCAAAAAGCTGATTCAAATTATGATAGCCACTCCTTTAAATAAATAAGCTAAAAAGTCACCATGAAGCCTATGTGATAAGATGTACAAGTATTGAAGATGGCAAACAACAATACTGGAAAAATAACTGATTTTTTTTCAGTACATCTTGGCTAGAAACTGTCAGCCCATATCTGGATATGGGCCTGTGTTGTTTGTACAGCAACCTAGATCATGCATACTTTTATATCAGGAGATGCCAGGGTTATCATGTGTTTTGTGTCAGTACAAGTACTCACAAGTGGCCTCAGCAGTGCTGTACTCCTAAGAATAAGGACAGACAATACACATCACAGGATGCATTTATAAATTCAGTTCACAGGTGCTTATATTTTGTTTTTCGGTCATTTCAACCATTAATGAGATGCCAGTAAAAGCATATAGATGATAGGAATTTCAGTCGATGTTCATGTAGCCAACATTTCTACATTCTGTTGGCTGCTAAATGTAGAACACTTTACCATTAAAAAAAAAAAAGACTTGGAGCTAGAAGGGACTTTAGGTATAGTCTAAGCCCCTCTTTTTACAGATGAAGAAAGTGAACCTCAGGAAGGTGATATAAAAGAAGAAGAAGAAAAACAACAATGACAACAAAAAAGAAAAACAAAAACAAGCTAATATTCATATAGCGCTTTAAGATTTGCAAAATGTGTTACATATATTGGCTCATTTGATCCTTACAAAGTGGAAAGTATAAAATAGGTACTATTAGTTTGTTGTTTTTCAGTTGTTTCAGTTGAGTCTGACTCTTCGTGATTCCATTGGATGTTTTCTTGGCAAAGATACTGGAGTGGTTTGTTATTTCCCTCTCCAGCTCATTTCACAGATGAGGAAAATGAGGAAAACAAGGTTAAGTGACTCACCCAGGGTCACACAGTTAGTAGCACAGATTTGTACCCAAGAAGATGAGTCTTCCTCCCTCCAAGTCTGGCATTCTATCTATTGTCCACCTAATTGTCAGAGACTATATTATTATGCCCATTTTATATGTGAGAGAACTGAGTTTAAAAGAGGTTTAGTTATTTCCCCAGAGTCACATAGCTTGTAAGTGTCTGAGGCAGGACTTCAACTCAGTTTTTCCTGTTGCCAAATCTGATGTATTTGTCCAAGGTTACACAAGGGAAGGAGATGGTTCTACTAGGCTCAAGGACTCAATTTCCTTATTTGTAAAATGGGAATAATAATACTTGTACTAGCAAATTCAGAGTTTTTGTGAAGAAAATTCTTTGTAAACTCTAAAGTACTATATAAATGCAGTTTTAGATTCTTAAAATTTTTGTTTTGCTCAGAACTGTGAGCAGTTTTTTTTGTCAAAAACCAGTGGAAAAATCTCAATATGGGTAGACCCTACTGTAACTTGGTCTTTGAGAACTGTCAGGGAACATAGATAGGGTTAACAAAGTTACCCATGGTTACAAAACTGGTATGTAACATAAGCAAGACTTGAACCCAGGCCATGAACTTGGAGACCAGCCCTTTACCCATTATACCATACATGTGTGTTTTATACACACACATTGATTGTGTATATACACACATGTTCACATGTGTATAACATATGCATGCATATATATGTGTATATATAAGAAAGCGTGACAATACCTATATGTTCGTTTATTATTCTTGTTTTAACATAGCACACAGGAATTTTTAAAACAACTGTGATTTAATCCTTATAAAGAACTTCTGGTGCAGACAGTCTCTCAACTAATGCAGATTGCAATCCCATGACTTATTAGATCACAGGTTTCAAGCTGAATGAATCCTTAAAGGTGATCTAGTCCAATTTCCCCATTTTAAGGAGGAAGAACTAAAGACTTAGAGAGATGAAAATAATTTGCCCAACACAAAGAAAATAAGCAAGATTCGACCACAGGTCATCCAACTACAAACTCAGCATTCCATGGTGCTATATATGTCCTGGGGAAATGACTGGGGCATCTAGAGTCTAAGGGACTTGCCCTGTTCATTCATTTCAGTCCTGTCCGACTCCTCCTGACCCCATTTGGGGTTTTCTTGGCAGAGATACTGGAGTAGTTTGCTCTTTCCTTCTCCAGCTCATTTTACAGATGAGGAAACTGAGGCAAACAGGGCTAAGTACTTGCCCAGGACCCACACAGCTAGTAATAAATACCAAAGGTGAGATCTGAACCTAGGTCTTCCAGTATCTGACTTCAAGTATATGAAGTTTCTCACTGAGAAACTTGATCTAACAGTGCAGATTGGCAATTTAGGTGCATCTTATCATTTTAGAGAATTGCCTGCCGCACTCAGAAGTTAAGTGACTTGCTCAGGGTCATAGAGGTAATGTTCATCGGGGCAGAATTTGAACCTAGGATTTCCTTACCCTGAGGCTAGCTCTCTATTCATTCTGCTACCCTACCTCTCAATGCAATAATGTAAGAGTAGCATTAGTTTATTTTTGTGTGTATGACTGCAATATGAGAACTCAAACAAAGCCCACAGTAACACAAAGTTTTAAAAACAACAATAATAATAAAAACAAACATTTATATAATGTTTTACTCACATTTATATAGCACTTAAAAGTTTTATCCTTTGAGCAAAGCAAGGAATGTAAACACAATCTACTAATCAACTTGAAGAGTAACCCCCTGAAATTCCTTTAACATATTTGTAATTAAAATCAGAAATTGATTAGTTTGAGATGCTGAATATAAAAATAAAGCTATCATCTTGGTTTGGGATCTGGGTAATTCTAAGCATGCACTATTCACACTGATGCATTTTAATATTTTCCTCACTAATAACTAAGTTGAATTTTAAGGTAACAACTCATCTAGTAACTAGTAAGCAAGCTGCTCCAAACACTACATTTCTGTAGTCACGTACAGTTATACTAAAATACATTTGATCTAGAATTGGTGACCATTTAGTCTTCTTTTCTAAATCAATTTAAGCAAAAACAAAAAACAAAAAAAAAACCCTCTGATATAACAGGCTCCTCAAATGATTAGTCTGCCTCTAAGAAAGAATTGGTTCATACGTTGCAAGGCTGAAGGGCATCCCGAGGCTCTTCTTTCCATTGACAGTGTCAAAAGATTGACTGCAATTCAAAGCTTCCCAGATCTGACAGTCAGGGGAGAAATCCTGGAATTTGCTGCTTTGCTGAAAAAAAGTATCAGAATGTCAACAGGTGCCGACATCTTGCAAGCAAGATGAACGTACTACTCTTCTCCCCTATTAAAAGAAGCACACACACACACACACACACACACACACACACACACACACAGACACACACACATACATGCACACATACACTATAGTTCTGCCATCCCCAAACGCTTCTCTTTGGGTTGTAACATTGTTACAACTCAGCTGCTTCCTTGGACAGAACAGCTTGCAGGTCTTGGGAAAGGAAGGCAGTTCTCTGACCCACTTGTTTCCTTTCAAAAACAGTCTACGCAATCAGAAAGCAGGGAGGCAGAATGAGGTCACATTTCCTGTCGGGTCTCACTTCACAAGAATTGGCTTTGAAGAGCACACTCAAGTTCACTATTAGGTTCCTGAACAATCCCCAAAAGGGAGGGGGTTGGGGGGAGAGGAGAGGGATGCTGTCCAGGGAGTGAGAGGGGGTGGGGTGTTGCCGTCCATATGCCAGGCTCACTAGAAATAGATAGAACTAGCATTCTAACACATATAACTAGAAATACAACTAACAATCCTTCTAATTAGAGTTTTCTGAACTAATTCATCATCATCTCCTCTCTCATTTTGGATGCAATCAGACAGAGCTTTCAATTTCATCTTATTTCTGCACCTCTCTACTTATTTCTGATTGCTACCAGTCAATGCTTAGTGTTCAGATAATATCACAGGGTTATTAATAATAACCTTTTTTGGAGAATATTAATGTGACTGAGGCTAGCTGGAGCCTCAGTAGCTTGGGGTTTTGAAAATCCTGATGACCATTAACAGATTTGAGCCACAGAGCCCCGAGCTTTACAAAGAAAACAGCTGCTCATGTTTTTATATTTCCATAATAACTCTAATTAACACCTCAATGTCTATCAAATAATTAGGCAGTCTCATTTTTGTGAACAATGAAAAAAATAAAACCTTCATGAAAAGTTATTGAAAAAAGAACTGAATCTATAGTTGCTAATTGAAATATAGAGTATATTAAAAATTTGTGGTGGGAGCAAGTGATGATATGGACTTGTAATTTTTGTCAGTTTTGAGAACTCTGTGTAGAAATTTCCTTCATTTATCCAGATTGTCAAGTTTTTAACCAATCAATCAACAAGCCTTTAGTAAGCACAAAACTTAAATTAGACTTGGTCCCTGCCATTTAAGGAACTGATAATCTAGTAGGGTGATAAGAGGACAAGAAGGATAGTTCTACTACACCTATATTATACGAGTACAATAAATAGTCATAAAATGTTATATGGGACATCACAGGCAATCAGGAAAAACTTTTCTGATGGTGATAGCTTTTGAGTTGGATTTAAAAGGAAGGGTGGGTTTTCAATCTCTCTTCTTGAGTTTATATCCTATTGAAAGAGATACCACATACACATATAAATAAAAACAACAAAAGTGCAAAGCAAATTTTAGGGCAGGGTCAGGACTCGTAGCTGATGGTATAGGGAAAGGTCTCTGGTAGGAGATGATGTTTGAGCTGAATTTGCAAAGAAAATAAGGATTCTAAGAGCCAAGGAGAAGAGGGAATGAATTAGTGGCCTAGGGGGACAGTCTATCCTCTGTGATTTATATTGTCAGAATGTTGCCTGGAAAGACTAAGACAATATGTAACTGGCCCGTGGTCACACAGGTAGTATGTGTGAGAATCAGGCCTTGAAGGCTGGTTTGCTCTATCTACATTTCGTCAAGCTGCCTCTCAAGTATATAAAAACTGACCAAAGCTGATTTAGCACATACTCCTTGCAAAGTTCTATACTCACTGTTTGGAGGCATACAAAGAAAACAAACGCTAAGTGCCTGCTGAATACAGAGAACTGTGCTGGGCATCGGAGGAGCTACAAAACTTGAATCAGATGTAGTCTCTGCCATTAAGGTATTGATCATCTAGTAGGGTGATGAGAGGGCAAGATAGATAGCTCTAATGCTCTTATAGTATATAAGTAGGATGAATAGTTACAAAATGGCATATGGGATACCTGGAGAATCAGGAAAAACTTTTCTGATGTTGATAGCTCTTGAGTTGGATTTAAAAAGAAGAATGTGTGTTCAATAAGTGAAAAGAGGAAGAAAAATAGCCAGAGAAAAGGCATAATGGCAAGAGAATTCAGTGCTTATTAGAAGAGAGAAACAGGCAGAGAACTGTCCAGACAGGCTAGAGCATAAGAATGCAATGGGTGTGGTGGGGGAAGAGGGGGTGGGGAGGGTAGTGGTATAGCGTAAAAAGTCTGGAAATGTAGAGTGGAGAGGTAGTTGGAAAGATAGTTGGGAAGGGCCTTGAATGCCAAACTGAAGAATTTTAATTTATTTGGAAGATGGTAAAGAGCCACTAAGAATTTTAAGTAGGTTGAAAAGTAAACAAATCAAGAAGTGTTCACTAAGCACTTATTATGTCCCAGGCACATGAAAATTATGTATTTGCCCTCAAGGAGCATTAGACCAATTAGGGAGGCAGTAAGTGCACACATAAAAAAGATACCTAACATTATAAGACTGTATAAAGTAAGTACCAAATGGATAGTACAGATAGCATTAAGAGTTCAAAGAAGGGAAGTTTTGCTATGGGATGAGGTTGTCAGGGAAAACTTCAAAGAGGAGGAAGGAACTGCCAGACCTTGAAGGCTATATAGAATTCAGATGGAAAGGGCAATGTTGCACATTTCACATGAGAAGAATGGTACAATCAAAAATATGAAAGTGGGAATGTGTCAGGTACATGGAAGAAACAGTACATAAATACAAATAGTATGATCAGAGCAAAGGATTCATGTAGGACAGAAATTTTCAGTGAAGTTAGGTTACACAGACTATGGAAGGACTTGTATGCCACGCTAAGTAATTTGGGCTTTATCTTGTAGGTGATAGGGAGCCATTGAAGCTTTAGATGGTAATAGAGCATTACAGCACTGTAATCATTAGTCCCAATAGTATTCAGAAGACTCAGCTTTCTGTGTTACTAAAGTAAAATTGATGTTTAACATGTGAAAGCAACTACAAGCTATAAATGGACTTGCAATTATTTTAACTAGTACACTATTCTCTTCTTTTATTGCAGATTGCTTAGTCTTAGTTGCATATAATCATCCCTATGTTTTCAATGAGAGATGTTGGGTCTAAGATTCCATGAAGTTAGATAGAACCACAGAAATCATCTAACTTGAGTCCCCATCATATAGCTAAACTCATCATGGTGCATCTAGAGTTTCAATTTGTAGTTTCTCAGTTCCATTCAGTTCACTCCTGTGCTGCTTAATTTCCCAAATGCAATCCAGACTACTGTTTTCCTCCTTTTCAATTCCACGTCCAACTCATTGTCAGCCTGTAGTGTCTGTCCAAGATGTATGTACTGGGGGACCAACTCAAAGACCATCTATCCAACTACAGATCACAATTTATATCTTCCAAAAGTATACTATATGATAAAATATAAGGGAGGGAAAGAGAGAGAGAGAGAGAGGAAAAAAGAAAGGGAAGGAAGGAAAAGAAGTATTTATATTCATAGCACTTGAGACACACAGTAAGACTAAATATACTTTCATTCATTATAATATGATAAATATCAGAAGTGATTTATAAATATCCCCTTTATTTGTTGTGAGGTTCCTTTACAAGATACTGAGGGCTGGAATCTGGGGAGAGAGAGACAGAGAGAGACAGAGAGAGAGAGAGAGAGAGAGAGAGAGGGAGAGAGAGAGAGAGAATCTGCCTTTCCACCCAGGGAGCCACAGTGAGAGGAGCTGCTGCCCTGCTGGTGTATCTGCTTTAGCTTCCTCATTTAGCATCACAAGCAGACCTGTGGTGCCAAGCGTGCCAACTTGAAGGGTGGGAACTCATTTTCTTACAACAGGCTGGTCTTCTGGAAGACTGTCTTGGCACTTATCCAGTAGCAAATGGCAATGCTGAAAGAAAGAGCAGAAGATTGGATGACAAGGATGTGGTGCTGAAATGAAAAGGTCGAAGGTCAAAACATTTATATAGCTCCTACTACATGCCAGACACTGTGCTAAGTGCTTTACAAATATCTCATCTGATGCTCACGACAACCTTGTAAGGAAGGTGCTGCTATTATCCTCGTTTTACAGTTAAGGAAACTAAGGCAAATAAAAATTAAATGACTTGCCCAAGGTCACACAGCTAGTAAGCATCTGAGGCTGGACATTCAATAGCATCCATCGTCTGCAAGAATAAATACCACAAAGAACTCTGTATCACCGCCATCCCACGTGCCAGTGCCGTCCTCTGGAGCCAAAAACCAGTTGTTGTAAAAGAGTAAACTGATCTCCCTGTCTCACTAAAGTGTCACCTTCCCTGCCCCTTCACCAATTTTGGCCAATAAGGTATACTGTCTTACCTTTGTGGGAAGGATGGAGGGGTGAGGAAAGAAGGGAGGGAGGGGGAGCTGCCCTATAGCAAAACCTATAACAAAAATGTTAATAAGTGTTCAAATGTTGTCAGCCAACAGGTATTTATTAAGTGCTTACTGTGTGCCAGGCACTATGCTAAACTCTAGTGATACATTCTCTATCTATTGTGAGGGAAGGGTACAGATACAGATACAAATATAGATACAGATATAGATATAGATATAGGTGTAGATACTCTCTGTCTCTTATACTTCTAGCCTATAGCACATCTTGCACATAACAGGCTTTCATTATGAGTGTGGTGGGAGCTCGGCTTGTTTTGTATGGGCTGCAAGGAGGGGCTGGGGCTCTTTTTGAGGAGGAGCAGAAGTCCCATGCTGTCTGAACTGTCTCTTCTTCTTCTTCTTCTTCTTCTTCTTCTTCTTCTTCTTCTTCTTCTTCTTCTTCTTCTTCTTCTTCTTCTTCTTCTTCTCCTCCTCCTCCTTCTTCTTCTCCTTCTTCTTCTTCTACTCCTTCTTCTCTTCCTCCTCCTCCTCCTCTTCCTCTTTCTTCTCTTCTTCTCCTCCTCTTCCTCCTCCTCCTCTTCCTTCTCCTCCTCCTTCTTCTTTTTCTTCTTCTTCCTCCTCCTCTTTTTGTCTTTGTTCCTTTTGCCTACTTTCATAGAGGCCATCAGAAGCATGTATTGGGTGAGTGGGGGGGAACAGGGGCAGGTGATCATTCCATTCTCTTGCCTCTTGAATCTTAAAACCCCCCCAGCCAAATGGCAACTGGTTCCAGAAAGCACACCTGAGCTCCTGGAGAGGGGAGTGGGAGGAGGAAGGGGAAGATAGGGGAAGAGAGACAGAGGAATGTTTTCCTGAGTTCTTAA